GTGGCCAGTCCACCAGCGCCAAGAAGGCCTATCACGCGAAGCTTTCGATTGAGCGACATTTGCAAAGACCACGTCAATGGCAATGGGAGAATAAGGATGATGAGGTCACTGACGACACTAATCACGGAGTCGGCGACGAGGGCAGCGTTCTGGTCAAGACAGCTTCCCTCCACCTGGTCACCGAGCCAGTACTTCGGGATGGGGGCACACATGCGAATCTTGATGATCAGGGCGACGGTGTAGTAAACGCACAAGCAGCCCAGGAAGATATAGATGAACCAGACTTTGCCGCGGTAGGGAGCGAAGATGCGGGTGAGAATCGCTAGGAGGGCGATTTTGACGAAAAGCGCCATCGGACAGTAGAGAATGGTCGCGATGTAGCAGAATTTTTGGAAGGCGATTTTCTCGTTAGGGGAGAACTCGTTAAAATAGTATCCTCCGCCATGTTGCCCAACTAGTAGAGTAAGTATATATAAATTGGTGACACATGGGAAGTATAGCACCTACTAACAATGGATATTGCACAATATCCCATAAACAGAAACTGTGTAAAGTCAGTTTTGGCTAATAAAGCACTAGATTATTTTGCTTGACGTACCCAAGCAATCACACAGGCAACTAGAGAATGGTCAGAAAAATTCTCGAAGAACATGCATGTATGCAAGGGACAAACTCACGATCTTCAACTCCTAGGGTTTGTTTGAATGAAAGCCGGGTATAGAATCGCAATATTACGAAAATAGTCACAATTGGAATACACAGACATTGTGTGACGAGATTGACAGTATGCAAGACATCTGTTCGGTTTTCGACAGTCATGATGGGCTTGAAGTTGAAGTCCCCCGCCCCTTGCAAAAGAACCGGGGAATTGACAAGATAAAGGACTTTACATCGTGAAAATGAGGATAGACAAGGAGATGATCTTTAGCGGGGAATTGGAGGCTATTGAACCACTCCTAATAGTGGCGCGGGATCCATGACGGCCATGATTGCTCAAGGGGGTGCGTTAGACCCGTTAAACCCCACTACCGGGCTGTTTTCACTTCTGAATGGTTGTTGGGGATTTCTATGAATAACACTTGACAACGCCAGACTCCATTCATACGCCACTAATATGCACCGGCGTCGTGGGTGCCAAACCGCCGGGCAAATAGTATCGATTCTAGCGTCGCGTATCAGTCGGACCCAAAATTTGTACCGGTTCACCACTAACACCGTTGTTTTACCTAGCCAAATGGGCCTTAGTGAAACCCTATAATGAATAGCCGAGGCACTAGGACTGACAGCTTTGACAACAACAAAGTCTTTGATTAATGATCGACAGTGGACCGAAAAAGGAGTTGTGTGTGGATGTCTCTTCCCCTTGTTTTCTCTTTCTATAATTCCCTCGGTCCTCTACGGAGTATAATTGCATAGTAAACGGAACCGAAAAAGGAAGAAACATGACCGTCCACTACTTGAACGGCAAAGACTCCGGTCTCTTCAAACCCCTGGCTATTTCAAATGGAAATATTACCCTGGAACATCGTGTCGTCCATGCGCCTCTGACCCGCAACCGCGGAGAGCCATTGAATCCCACCAGCACCCCGGACCACCCAAATCGTATTTGGATCCCTGGAGATGCGGTTGTGGAGTATTATTCCCAGCGTGCTACCAAAGGAGGCTTGATGATCTCGGAAGGGATTCCACCGTCACTTGAGGTAGGCATTGAACCCAATTTGATGGCACACGACCTCTTTAGGATATGGTGCAGGTGATTCTTTCGGAGTTGCCCGCATTATGAATTACAAACTTTAATTTTGAGTTTTTTTTTAACTGGTTCTCAACAGAGCAATGGCATGCCCGGAGTACCCGGCTTGTTCAATTCCGAACAAGCCGCGGGCTGGAAACGAGTGGTGGACGCCGTTCATGCAAAGGGAGGCATTATCTTCTGCCAGCTGTGGCACGCCGGCCGTGCTACGATCCCTCAGATGACGGGATCGCCTGCGGTCTGCCCATCGGCCTCTGTGTGGGATTCCCCGACGGAATGTTATTCGCATCCGCCCGTTGGCTCCACACAGCCTGTGCCTTACGCCAATCATCCGCCCATCGAGATGACAGTGGGACACATCAAGCAGACTATCGAAGATTATTGCATTGCCGCTAAGACTGCTATGGATATTGGGTTCGATGGTGTCGAGATCCATAGCGGAAATGGTTACCTGCCGGAGCAGTTTTTGAGCTCCAACATCAACAAGCGTGAGGATGCTTACGGCGGTACTCCAGAGAAGCGCTGCCAGTTTGTGTTTGAATTGATGGCGCAGGTGGCCAAGACCATTGGTGAGCAGAATCTGGCTATTAGATTGTCGCCGTTTGGTATGTTCAACCAAGCGCGCAGTGAACAGCGTGTTGAGACTTGGACTCACCTGTGTGAGGGTCTGAAGAAGACTCTCCCGTCGCTGTCGTATGTCAGCTTTATTGAGCCGGTATGTTTTCATCGTCTCTATCTAATGGTACACTGCTAACCTACCTAGCGTTATGAACAAATCTTCGGCGCTGAAGAGAAAGATAAGTTCCTCGAAAGCTGGGGTCTTCTGAATGTGACCCTTGATTGTTTCCGCCAGATCTTTGGCTCCACTCCGTTCTTCTCCGCTGGTGGATGGGACGATCAAAACTCCTGGGGAGTAGTGGAATCCGGTAAATACGATGGTCTGTTGTATGGTCGATACTTTACCAGCAACCCAGATCTAGTGCACAGACTCAAGGAAAAGCTCCCCATGGCTCCATATGACCGAACTCGATTCTATGGACCATTTGAGGACAATACCTTCCATTATACAGATTACCCTACTGTGGATCAGAATTAGGTAATTCGTAGTGTATATATGTATATAGCATTAGATACTAGATATATTATATGCGTGTTAAACTTGGATGTTAAAATTTTAAGCATAAAAAAAAAAGCCTGGAAATTTCGATTGTCACCCGTGGACCCTGGGCAGGCCAG